GATGACGGTTCGTGTAGGCATGTACTAGAAATCCGATTGTTTCGATGATCCTCTGTCAGAATCTCCGCAATTTAATAGGACTCGAAAGGAATATTCGAGGTAAATGATCAGGGAGTAGAATGATGCATTTTTAAAGTTCATAACCCGTTTGTCAACTTGCTACCTACAACCCGCTTATGAATACCCCAACACGCCTGCCACTGAACTGTCTCCCTACCTAGGTCCTTTCGACTTGTCTTAGAAAAGGCTAACACTAACAATGTCACCTTAGCAGAGACTGTGCCCACCATTTCGGAATTTCACCGTGACATTAAAGATGGTTCCAGTAGGGAACGGGATAGAGGATGCCCGCGTCCTTCGTGACTCATTGGAGCAGACGAGGATAGGACTAACGTTAACATTACTTAAAACACAATCCCACATCATCATTCATCACCTCCATTATTTCTAAAATCATCATTGCTCTCAGATCATTGACTTACATTTATAATCCTTGAATCTCTATCTGTAACAGTTACATATCATAAGAAGTAAGTACGTAATACACTACTTGGACACTATTATACGCACTTTTTTCAGCGAATCAGATGGCGTCAATCTCATATAAATGAGTTAGGGATTTAAAAAAAAAAAGATTAAAAAAAATAATAATCCGATTAATGAGCTGGCGTTTTGGTGTCGTTTGTTCCCCTCAGTTTACAAGCAGCAAATATTTGTAATGTAATGTATATTCTTTCGGTCTAAAAGTGCCATGCCCATCCCAAACGATGAAGGAAAATAAAAATGGAATGAGCATCTACAGTTGAGGGTTTGAGTACGTCGTAAAAAAAATGCGGGTGACGCTGTCACCAAATATCACCCGACACGTTTTGAATAAAACCAGGAAAACCAACACTTACATAATTTCCCAGGGTCAGTTTTTACGATGAATTTGGTATCCATTCAATGTTTAAGTTGAATCAATCTATATAACAAGAATAGGAAAAAAGACGGTAAAAAATCAAATCTTACAATGGTTATTTCCAACGAGCATCATATTGTTATCTTTACTGCAAAAGTTTTGACATGTTTTTTCCAGTCTACTAACCTATCCCTCCCCTTTCTTCTTCTTTTTCCTTTATGTATTCGTGTTTGTGATTAAACATTCTGATATTCTTTACCTTTACTTTTTTTTCAAAATGCTTTGATTCTGTTGTGGATACTAATACGTAATATTGTTTTAATTTTATGATTTTTGGTGTTTTTTTCTTTTTTACTATTCATGTTCTATTATTTTATCCATTTGGAGGGCAGTCACAATATTAGTCGATTTTAGAAAGTGTGATGTGATACAATGTATTTTTCAAATAAGAAACTTTGAGACCCCCGGAGATCAATATGACCTACTTAACTCTTAGTATACAGCGCGCCAGTTCAGCTGGCTCATAGCACCGCTCAGTTGTTTACAGTCATAACAAGATCAACGATACCCCAATAATAAATCGATGTTATTTATAATCCAACAGAATCTGTATTGCATGGGTCATTCACTTTTACTCAGTTTGATGCTTATTTCACGCAAACTGGTTTAATAGGAGCGGAGTTTTAGAACAGTTTGTGATATTGAAAAGCTGGATGACAAAGCTGGCTGCGTACAAACGTGGAATAGCCTACCGTATACTAAAATTTGATCAAACACCCCGTGTTAAGCAGATTTAGATGACATACTTGCCCTAACGTGACGACGCATGACGGATCACCGTCTTCTTATGTAGTAACTTTTATTACCCCCCCCCCCACCCCACCTTATAAAAACAATAGGTTTCCTCAGGTGGAAAACCCATCAGACAAACAACAAAATCACAAAACCACAGATCCAAATGTAATAAAGGTCGAATCTGCATAAAATAAATGCATAAAAAGAAAAATACGGATGACAATATTCGGTTCCTAACATGTTACCTCGTTGTATATCCCCCAAAGACTGTTTTGGAAAAAGCTGAAATCAACAGATAGGCTAAAGGCATTTATGTGAATAGAGTAATCATTACATCGGGAGGAAAACAAGTGTAGAAATCATCACTTTAACTTTCATTAGGATGGCTAAGAAAAGCAAATGGACTAGAAGAACACACGAAACGTCAATAGTAAAGTGTAAACAACTCTATTAAAACATGAATTATGAATTCTCCTCGTTTCAGACAGGAATAGAAACGGGGCCTCTGGCATCGTTTAACAAATGTTTCGGGAAACTCTTTTCCCTCTAATTACCCGTTTTAGCCACACCTTTGATGCCATTACACCTTTTACGCTCTTCTCTGTTTCTTTCGTGAATAATACATTTTGAGAACGTTAACCCAGAAACAGGACACGACAACTATTTCCCCGACTTCATTGAGTCAGTTTGGTGAAAAGTGCTTTTCATTAGCCAGGTTCAGTTATTGGCGGTACTGCGTTTTTTTGCTCAAAATATTCAGATTAGCTTATTGCGCACGCATGTTTCACGAAGAGAGAAGAGGGAGCTTATTATAAGTTCTTCCGCGTGTTTTTCCTACACCTCTTAATGTTAACAGTCGACGCTCTCTTATTCACGACGATACCACCCTCCTAATCTCCCCCCTTTTCCCCTCCTCACAATGCCCGTTCCGTTCCTTCCTCCTCCTTTCCTCCCATTTTCGTTTTCCCTCCCGTCCCTCCCTCTTTCATAACTGCCCCCCCCCACCCCCAAAAGAAAAAGAAGTCCCCAAACCCCTCTTTTACTTTTACTTTCGCCTGGACTCCTCCTTTTCTTTTTACTCCTTACTACTCCCTTCCGCTCTCTTTTTACCTTCTAGTATCTCTTTAATTTTCTGACCCACCCCACCCACCCGTTTACCCCTCCACCTTCCCCCTTCTCTTCTATTTACCGCTCCTCTTTCCTTCTACCCC